TAATATATAAGTTGTATTTTTTCCTCTTTTTTCTAATTACGTGCAAGTTATGAATACATAAATAAAAAGGTTTGTTAGGCATGGTTCCTCAACTCATATACCTAATGTCAATTATTTAATTCCCTGATATTTGTACAATCCATGTCTACGGAAGTATTTGTGTGTGTATTCATTCATTTACATGGTCAATTCAACAGACATCCTTAGTTTGGCCAATTTCTTTTAAAGTGATTTGATCTCTACATACCAGGCTCTCTTTTTCAACTTCGCCTAAATTGCCTTAAAATTTTATCTAATATAGTAGAGTCTGCAAAGAGCAAATGCTGTAAATCAGCCCACATTTTAGTTTCAAGCATAGAAACATGCACTGAAGTCACTCATTAAAACCAACTCACTTGACAAAAACTCAACTAGCCAAAGCAAGCAAGTAAAGAAAAAGTAAAAAAAAAAAAAGTCCCCTATTTCAAATTACAAATCCATTTACTAGAAAAACCCTCTCAATTAAGACTTGATTTGATAAGACTAAACCTACTGCAACCAACATGTGACCAAAAAGCAAATCGCCTCAAATGGAACCCATCTACATATTTCTTCACAATTATGAAGGTCAACACATTTTTATCTAACCCCCCAAAAATCTAATTTTAATAAAAACAGACGTTTGACAATGGTGTTAATTTCTCAATGAAAGAAAAATACAAGTACCTTTAAAATTCAGCTGTATATTTTACCGATTATTTTCATTTTTTACAATGTTACTAGACTTACCTGATTGTAACTGGAATTAACTGAAAACACAATACGGACCCTGATCTTGGGTCTGCATAATTGTTCACCCATCATGAGTTTCTGATTATTCTATGTGAAAACTATTCCATGCTCATTAAGGATATATATAGGAACAAATTCCTAAAATCCTTTATTTAGTATTTTTTAAAAAAACTGTCACACTTCCATTATAAAAGATAAATAAAAGAATACTTTATTCAAGGTGGCCCCCCATTCTCTTCTCAAAGGACATGATAGCCGAGGAAGACTATCTAGAACCAATTAAAAAAAAAAATTCCATGGTAATACATAAAGAATGTATAAAAAGGAAGCAGTAAAACTGTGTGCAATTGCCAGCCATCGCATAATTTTGCCCCTTGTAACCCAAGTGTAGGATGACAATGCAGTTACGTCTCTTGGCCAGTAGATTTCAGCATACTGCTTTCCAGTCAGGTCTACCTTGCTTCCACTGCCAGCTTCGTAACGCTCAACTCTTCTGCCAGGACAAGATGTCAGTCCTTAGCTCCGACAAATGTCAAGAGAAATACGAACTTTCAAAGGGCTTTGATAACTTCAGCTAATACAAACTCCTGTTCATGAAGACCTCAGAGCAATGCAATGAGATTATTGCAATTAACCTAATTAAATAAGCTGCTACTAGAAGATAAAGAAGGAGGTGGTCTTTTTATTAGTGCCAAAGGTTTCTTGAGAGAACAGAATGCTCTTTCCTTCTAGAACATTTTAAATCTGTATAGTATTTGTGTCAAGAAAGAACTGGAACCAGCTATACTAAATTACAAACCGGCAGGAAAGATAATAGGAGGAAATCTGCAGTTTGAGAATGTATTATGGTCCAGAAGAGTAGCCAAAACACTAATCCATTACTTGTCTTCTCTTAAAGGCTGGTTGACTTTCTTTAAAAATAAAATGTTGGCTTATCTGCCGAAATTAAGAATGCCTGGTATAGTTAGTTTACTGAAATATTTCTGACAAAGAGCTAGGAAAGCAATTTATTATCTTTCATACAGAGAAAAAAGCACTCAACTCTCAAATTCCGAGCACCATGTTTTATGAAGTAGAGGAAACGTCACTAAAGGGGGGGGCATGGTTTTGCTCAAGTATCTGAGATGTACCTATTATCTTAAAGGGTCTTATTACAGAGAAACCTTTCTCAAGTATTATATTTAATGTCTATGTGATTTTTAAACATGCAAATCATTACTATATATATAAGGAGTACTCACTCTAACTCTTTAATTTTAAATGCAAAATTGGACAGTAACTCAAATTTCTGCTGACTTTGTAACTCAATCAAAAAGCTACTCATTCGTTACTATTGAACATCTAGCTACGTACTTTTATATAGGATTTAGTAAATAAAAGCAAAATAAATGACTTAAAAATATGAGGTAGTCATAGTATCTTCCTTTTGTGGAAATGAAAATAAATGCAAAGAAGCCAAGTAATCTGATGATTTTGCAGAACATCAGAAATAAATTCAAAATCAGGATTAGCACTCTGAATTTCTGCTTTCAGTACTGTCTATTAAGGCTACAATCAGCCTCTGCTGTTTCAATTTACCATGGTGGGAGGAAGGGCAGTATTGCTCCCCGATTACAGAAACAAGTGCACAGAATTATGACTCACAATATAAACAATATTTAAGCTTCTCTTTTGTTACTACCTAAAAATCTCTGTAAAAGTACAGAACAAGATAATAAGTCTTAAAGACTAATCACCTTGAAATTTCAACTTAAATAAAAGGTATGTTCCTTAACATAACATAAAGTTGGCTATTATATCTAAAACTATATTTAAGCACAACTATTATGGGATGATTAACAGTCTGGTTTAGGACTGGCCTTAGGGCGCCTGGGTAGCTCAGTCGGCTAAGCATCCGACTTGGGCTCAGGTCATGATCTCATCATTCGTGACTTGGAGCCCCGCATTGGGCTCCGTGCTAACAGCTCAGAGCCTGGAGCCTGTTTCAGATTCTAGATCTCCCTCTCTCTGCCCCTCCCCCACACCCGCTCTGTCTCTCAAAAGTAAACATTAAAAAAATATATATATTAAAAAAAAGGATTGGCCTTGAGCCTCTTCTTTCTAATACTCTATGAATAAATCAGCTTTCTTCAGGAATGGTGGTTTGAGAAGCCCCACTTGCAACCATCCTTGCAGAGTCTGGACTGATAGTCTGATGAAAAGGAAAATACCAATTGTACCACTGCAACAATGGGAAACTTAGGTCAGGAAATTTTTTAAATTCAAGTACCATCTTAGCAGAATTGAGAGAGTCAGCCATTAATCACTTAATGTGACTAACTCAATTTAATTGGCCTTCTAAACACCTAGCCAAGAACGCAAAAGAATTACCATTTGCACTGGGGAAGGAAGACAGAGGCATGGTGAACTCTGTCCATGGACATCTGGACATCGAGAGGGCAGCAAAAGGACCCACGGTACTTCAGTAGGATAGGACAAGAGAAGGAAACAGGGCCCAGGACTAGATGCTGGAATTCAGTCAAAGACAGTTTTTTAAACAGGTTGCACTTCTGATTTAGTACTGCTGACCAACAGCCGAGCCAAAGCAAATATTTACAGTGAAAATCAGGCATGCAGCTCAAGGTTGTAACTGTAAAGCAGAATACCATAGAAGTGGAAACAGTCTATGTACATAATGTTATGTAAGACTACTGTAGTTTGAACACATGCAACGGTGAATCCAGCTGTACCTGTCACTATTAATATCATTCTTTTATAACCAAAGATGGATATGGAATGTTGTCAAAGTTTTACACAGTTTGCCTGTGTCTACTAGTATAAAGAAGCAATCAGAAGTCGTCTGCAAATAACATTGAGAACACAACCATGGAGAAATTTGTAGTTCTTCCCGCTCCAAAACTGTTCAATTATAAAAGTACTTTTTCTAGTAAGAAAAGGGAATCATTGCTTACTATTAAAGGTTTGAACACTTCCTGATTTTTGGCCAAAACTGTATGTTTGAATTTCAAATGAATGGAACCTAGTCATTGAAGAGTCTTAATAAAGCATCTGATGACCATTTGCTATAGGTAAGGTGACCCTCTTGTGAGTGGGGCCAGTATCTGCCTTAGAAGCTAAGTGTGTCACTTGAGTTTTACTATAGTCATTAGGTTTTAGAGTATACGTTTTAACCCAGTTATATTGTAGTCATGTATTAAAATATAATAAGCTTTGCAAAGTAAATGTTTCTACACAAGAATGATGGACTACCTGTAAAATGCCAATCATACATAAACAAGGATCACAGTTATTCACTTAGCCTATGTAAAATCTACACATTAGATTTTCTGCCAATAATACCTTTTCTTGGCCAACTTAAAAAGTACCTATAGTTTATGTCTCAGGAACTTTAAGTCAGAAAATAGGAACCGAAGAACAACTACCATTATAAATATTTCCTTTGGGCTAATGTTCACACAACATATGCATCTCTGACATTTCAGCTTCTAGTAACATGGGCCCTTAGATTCATGAATCAAGAAAAGATAAGCCAGAGGGCTCCGCGGGAGCTAATAACGAAAAGCCGAACGGGGAAATGGAACTGCTCAAGGTATAACTGGCTAATGGTGATGCCACATATTAATCATTCATCGTTCTTTTCTACACACACATTAAAAATATGAGAGTGCATATTTCTAGGGAATCTTAAAGCAACTGACATACTTCTCAAAATCCGAAAAGCTTGAAAAAAATCCTATTCCTAAATATTGTCAACTATGAATATTATCTTACTGTTAAAATATTCTTATGGGAATAATTTTAAAATTATAATTTCCAGAAGCTAATAACAGGAGAAAAAAATTATGTCTAAATAGGTATAGTTCTTCCTATAAAGCTGATCAATATGGTACTCTACAAATTTACAAAATTTTTGATATGGAATACCTAAAATATGTAGACGTGTTGCAGTGTCTACATATGTATTTTTCTGTTCTTTCTGAATCCTGAGGCAGAGTCAGCCTTCTCCACTTAATACTTTTTCACACTGAAACCATACAGGAATACTAGTTTTTGAGTAGCATTCCCTTTTAGTTCCACTACTTTAATGTGGTAGGACATGCCCTGGACATGAAGTCAATAAAGCGAGAAAGCAGTGTTTGAATCTTTGTACTCTGAACTCTTCGCAGGAAAAGTGTTTTGGGGGGCAATGGAAACAAATCATTCTCAGACAAAAAACAAAAACAACACCCTAGTTTTTAAGATAGTTCCTAATGTCCAATATAGGATATAGGATATAAGATTCTAGACTCCAACTATTCAAATTTATATACAATTACAGTACTCTGGAGAAGTACAGAGAAATACTTTTAAAAAATACAGGTATATAAATTAAAGAAACTGGTATTTAAAAGATTTAATACAAGGAGAAAAGATACTGTATAGTGGTACCAATTCTTAATACAAATTAGTAAGCATAGTTTATATAATTTCAAAAGTTATTCACATTATTGCTAGATACCACAGTTGAATGGAACAAGTTCTTGACACACATTAAAACTTGTATAATTTCAGGTTTATAAAAACAAAAATTTACACATAGGCCATTCAGAAATTTAGAAAGTTTTAAAATGCATGGAGATATGTACAACCAAAAGGGGGGGGGGATATGTATATTTGTATATATTTAGAAGAAATATGTTAATCTGATTCAAACTTACATGTCGCATTCTCAGTCAAAAAAGTATACATAACTGGACTGAAAGCAAACTAGTGGATAAAAACAGTACTAAATAGGTCCTCCGTTTCTTAGCAATAGTAATCTGTTCTAAGTATCAATGGGGTATTTAAACACCAGCTTACTTTTAATTCTAGAACTTTTGCTTTCTTCCAAAAACTTTTCAGAAACATATATCCATTCTACAATTATGTTAGATTGGGAGAAGTATTTTCCTTAGAAATTTTTAAAAGGAGTATTTCCATACTTTTCTATAGAAGATTTGATAAACAATAAAAAATAACGCAAGTAAGGCCATTATTATCATCTTGATCAAAAATATACACAGATTGTAATGCTACTATATTTTGTGATCCTGAGCTCTAGTAACCATCAGGTGCATGCATACCATTCATTATTTGTCTATTCTATTAAAAATAATTTAATACTGCCTTACTACCTCTGAAGACAGAAACACTTTCAAAATTTGTTGATAGGTCTTCATAACGTAACAGATATTTCTGCTGTAAACAGAGCATTAGGAATTGTATGGAAAAGGATATGTTAGATTCCAAAAAGCTATTAAAGAAAACTTACTATTTTAAAACAATAACTATTTTAAATTTTAAAAGGAAGAAAAATAATACAAAGAGTGTGTGCTTGGAATAGATAAGTAGAGGCTTACAAAAGTGTTCTTCTATATTATGGAATTAATAAATAGAGGACTGTGTGTGTACCTTGGTGATAAAATAAAAAAGGCTGGCCACTTTTTATGCTAAGTTCAAATGTATTTTTTTGATAATACAAAAAAGTAATCCTTGAAAATCAGAATACATAACAGAAAAGAGCACAATAACTTAAGTATTAAACATCTGTATGAAATAACTGTTGCAAAGTTTGACAAAAATGCACACTTAGAACATGCGGTTATTTAAAAAAACAAAAACAGAAAAAAAAAAAAAAAACAAAAACAAAACACCACACGATTCTGTAGAACCAATGTTATGTCACCACCAGGAGAGCACCAAGCAAGGCACCATTGGAAAGACAACATACTTGGAAAGTCTCTATAAATAAAGTGAATGCTAATCTGGTCGAAAAATCGGTGTCTTTGGTAAAAATTCTATGAGGATGACCTGTAGAGGGAGAGAAAAAAGTTTTAAAAAGATTTAAGTACATTTTTATCTTAAAAACTTTCAATTCTAGTCCGTCGCTCACAGCAATTTCGTTGCCTCTGACGGAGAATGCATGCATGCGTGACAAGAAAAGGGAGCCAGAGCTAGCAGTCATGGGATGAGAACTGGACTCCATACCAAGTGTTTCATACTCTACCCATCTATTTAATCCCAACAACTTTTCTACGAGGCAAGTATTAGCATCCTCATTTTACAGATGAGGACAGCGATGATCCAAGAAGTATAACATCATGGACTGTGGAGTCAATACTTGAACAAAGGGCTATCTTAACTCCTAAGCCTTGCCCTTTCTACTGCACCATGTGGTTGCAGCCAACCCAATATTTATTTCTTCAGGCTTCCTCTTTTGTACCTAACCCAGTTCCATGGGTCTTTAGGTTCTAGATTTGCTCTCACTTTACTGTACCAGGATATGTGGATCTCTTGATAAAGGATCTCTTAATTTTTTTAGAAGCCCTTTTCTTCCTAGGTTAGCAAAATTAAAGGTTAAATTTGTTCCAAAAGACCTTTTACTAGGAAAACCAATAAAAACAAAAACACAGTAACAGAAAAACACAAGTTGACTAGAGCTAATTTTTATTCCAATCTTGAGCTGCTTTAAATTACAATCAATTCTTTCCCTTGTTCCAACTCTGTATGAAATAGATGCTAAACAAAACATTACTTGAACAGCTTCCAAGTTTGGTCAACTCCTCATTTTTTCTTTCACAAACTTGTCCTGATGTAACCTCCAGGTTTGGACACTCTTGTACATTTAGCCAAATAGGCCAGAAACATTCATTTTCACTATTCATTTCTCTTGACTTTTGATCTGCCTCAATAAAGAAGGCTCTTCCACATACAGCTCAAAAATATTCCTCCACTACTTTGGTTATCTCATACTAATAAGCCTTAGGTGCCACTCTCTGACCTGTTATTTGCTGACAAAATGTCCACTAGCTTCCTGTCTAGCTTTCTTATTTGAGCTAGATTCCCCTGTTTCTCAGTTTCCTCATATTAAATAAAGGGACTGGACTAGATGACAAAATTCTGTGCAGCTCTAAAATCTGATGATTAAACTACCTGATTTGAGGTTTAACAACTTATGAGTCAACATTCAATAAATACTTCTATATTTCAAACATGTCCTCATCAAGCAGTTTTTATAATTTCAGGTCTTAGGTGTAGGCATTACGTTACATACTACAAGTACGTAATACAAAATAAAAGCTATCTTTGACTACATGCCAATTATTACTGGTTTCCAAAAAATATATCCTAGAAATTCTTTTCCTTCAGAGTCACACACAGAAACTGGCCACTTGTCTTATTTCTTCTACTGCATCTGGATAAAAGTTGGTATCAAGTTTATTTTTTTTCCAGATTGTCCCCAATATTCAAAATATAACCGAGGAGAATTCTTTTCTTTTAACTAACAAATGAAATTTCTGTAAGTTAAAGAAAAGCTAAGGTCAAAGAGAAAGCTGTGGTAAAAAGGCCCAATTCATTAGAAAAACAAAGCACTCTCTTCTTACTAATTATTGTGCTATCTTAACTTTTTAAAATTATTTCTTAGGGAGTTTTGAAATTATGTTATTCCACCATGCGACTATCACAAATGACACGTACTCTGAGAAAATTTAGAAAAAAATACATTTTGTAGCAATTTTCCTGTATTTTTCCTTGTTTAAAAACAAAATTTGTATTTTTAAGTAATCTCTATACCCAACATGGGGCTTGAACCCACAACCCCGAGATCAAGAGTCCTATATGATCTACTGACTGAGCCAGCCAGGCATCCCTGTTTTTTTTTCCTTTTTACTACTCTTCTGGGTATCTCCTATGATGGTGTAAGAATAATATGGCTTTAGAGGAAAAGTGTTTATCTAAAAATTTGTAATAAATTAAACTATTTTACAAACAAAGCACATAGTTCAGAATGTTTTGGAAGGTTAGTAAATTATTTTTAGTTAATAAAATATGTCATAAAAATAAGCACGAATATAATGAGTACATTTTATGAATGGATGACTTTCTTATAGCTCTATCTGGAAATAACAGCATTGGGAATAACTTTTATGTTTTACTTTTGAAAGTCAATTTAGAAATTCACTACTATTTGGGTTTATAAATATAGCAAGTATTTTTTCACAAAAGCCTTTAAATCTACATATTCATCCCTCCTCACAAGATACATAAACTCTCTTACCATCATGAGAGCACAAGACCAACATTTTCACAGGTCAATCTCAAAACGAGTTACTGGAATGTACTTTTTTTAATAAAAAAGTATCAAGTGACTTTCACATCATCATACATTAACATGTCTGCTATACTAAATAATGATAAAATCTACGTTTTTGATTCACTGAAAAGACATTTTTAAGATGTCTTTTCTGTTCAAGGTTAGAAATGGGATTTGACTGTATGATAATGAAAGAAAGGGAAAACGCTACAGAGAAAAATGATTTTATGATAATTTGCAACTATTTAAGCACTGTTTTAATCAATCTCTTATCCATACACACACTCTCTCACACATGCACACACAAATCTATACGATCTATGATGGCTGTACTGTTTCAAAGAATAGACAAAATTTGTCAGAAATGTGCCTGGTACTTCACAAAGACTAGGACTTTAATTTTCAACAGTTAACCCTTCACAAATCTTTTTCTTTCAATATAATAACCTTTCCATACTTAAAATAAAGCACTCAAGCTCAAGGGAGAGTAAATAAAAATTCATGATTTTCTACAGTATTTTCAACTTTGTACAAGGAAAATCGCTCAAGTAAAATCAAGGAGTCAGTAAGTTAAACCCCATACTGAATAAATTTTCAAATTCATTGTATACATGCACCACTTAGATGTCTTTTAAAGAATACAGGATGAGCAACATCTCACCTCCTGCCTTCCCTCTAAGATAATTTTTACAAAACAATATTCTAATAACATTTTTAAAGATTGTTTAAAGGCCACTGAGGTATGGGCAGTTAAAATCTATAAAGGCTAAAAGTTTCTTAAGCTCCGACGGCTTGGTTGAAAGGTTTTCTTCCATACTTGGAAACTTGATTAGCATTATATAAAAAAGCCATATCTGACTTGCTGCGTAACCAAAGTTGTGGTTATTCTTCATACAGCATCTAAAATTTCACACTCCATCAACACATGTTCAGGCTATTTTATCTTGGCAATTAATTTATTATTTTTCAGAACACACTGAAGCCTTGTTCTCAAGTCATTCATAACTTTATAAATCAGTCCTGCACATGAAACCACGCATCTGTGAACCGTAGAAAATCCTTGCACTCAGGAGATTAAGCTCCTGACACCTTTGCTGATTAATAATCATGGAAAGAATAAGATCAGAAGCAAAATAAATGATCATTTAATAGAGAAACTCACAAAACAGCCCTTTAACTTACATATTCCATCATGTTATTCGTTTCACATTTCCTTTTGCTCAGTCTCCAGTGCAAGCACAGCTAGACAAGTGGGAGAGTAAAAGAAGAAAAATGAGCTCTGTTTTATTGCAGCGCACAGACTAACCCATTTGTCCACCTTTCATATTTTTAGTTCAACAAAAGCATCTGTTTCCATACTGTGCAATTCAGACCCCAACAGTACGAAGCTGCTCCCTGCGGTACTCACCTTGTGGTATAACCTATTGTTTTCCCATTCTAATAACTTCTCAATCGATCTTCGTGTCTGGAAGACAAATGAGAAAAAAGTTTACTCTTGACTGGTTTTAGAAAAACTTTGTTTTGCAGCTGTTTTTTGTGTGAAAAGGAGAGAGGTAAGAAGACAGTGACTGAGTACATGGTAGTCTAGAACACTTTCAGCATTTTCGTACTGCATAGTAACCTGACCAGAAGTAGTACTCTATTTTAATAAAGATATGGCTTTATTCTCTAGCACTGTATCTTTTTTTAACCGTTTCAAAATTACTAGCTTATGGTTTAAAACTGCCAACGTCTAAAAAGCTAATGTAATCTACCAAGTGATATACATTTTAATCTCCGTTTCTTTCAAAAATATTTTTGCGGTATTTAGTGATAAAAGTTCCTTCATATTGATTTTAAAACAAGTTATCTAAATATCAGTTAACAAAATACAAAAGACTTTAGGGTAAAATCAAAAAGAAAATAATTAAAAATTAATAAAAAATCAACCAGCTATCAAAACAAACTTTTACATCACACTTAAAAAATAATATCCAAATTTAAAAGCTAGTTTATTAATTATTCCACAAAGATTTTCAAGCAGAGGCAAAACTGTATATAAACCAACAAAAGTGATTATTAAAATCAAAAGTTTAAATCAATACTACTAGCTGCTCAAGGAATCAACTGAAAAATTTATGTTTAAGTTCACTTGATTTTTGCAATATACACCATGCAGCATGAAACGTGTCTTGCCTGGACGTGTGAATAAAGGAGAGGATAATTCATGATGCCAGGTGTTAGGATGAGACTGACACAGCTGCAGGTGCAAAAGGGACGGTGCTGCCACCAGAAGCAACTGCAACTTGGTGCAGCTGCAGCTTCCTTGCAAGGGAAGGAAAAAAAGCATCCAGCGCTATTAATGTGCACAACTAAACGACTACTAAGAATCAAATATGAAAATCTGCATGTCAATAGGATGAGCAAGGTGAAAAATTGTTAGGATCAAGCTGGTTTTCAATAGTTTGTCACAGAATAAATGGTTAATATTTAAAGTATATACAGTAACCTAAGTTACCACATTACCTTTTAGCATGTTGTACATACTAACGTTACACTAGTCACATAGGTGCCAATTATAATTCATAGCTACCAATGAGTTACCCACTATTACTATTTTCTCCAAGCTTATGTCCTAAGAATCAGAAAATCACCTAACTCTGAGCAATAATACGCCAATGACTAATTTATTACATTACTTTTTTTTTTAACAGTTGTGTGGGTTTTTTTTTTTTTTTTTTTGGCAAGAATTTTAAAGGAAAAAAGTGCCCTTGTTAACAATGATCAGCAGACCTCACTTGTTTCTTTGTAAAGATAGCCTTTTAGAGGCAGCTCTCCTTTTAAATGAAAATAGGGCAGCAGTTATGGTCACACTTTTTGTTAATTTAGTTGCCAGTCAGCCCCAAATCAAAAGAAAATAAGGCTGCAGAGTGTAATTAACATTCAGTTCAGTCGTTTTGTCCCTTGTCTAGCCCCCAAGCTTTGTTAAAATTGCCATCTGAATGCTGAAGGCTGTAGGGAAATCGATTTGATTCTAATCGCACCATGAAAAGAACATGATCTAACTGCTTTCAGCCCTCCGTAAATCTGTACTAGGTCTTTAGCACAATGCAACTTCCAATTTAAAAAGCACTGAATGTCTCGTCAATGACTTTGTGAAGAAAAAAGAACAAGGAGCAGACATAAAAATTCCAATAGTTGTTTAAGCATTAAAGTTCATTTGCATCACAGCGAACCTGAAAAGGGCTGACCTCTCAAACCGCCTCTCAGGTCTATGAAGTTGTAGCCTTGACAAGCTCACATTGACAGAGCTCATTGACTCTGAAAGGCTACTCTATCAATGGTGAAAAATGGCAATAGGTTCTACTCTGAGCAGGCATCTGCCTGCCCACCCGCTGCTAAACCAATGGCAAACCGATTCAAGACCTGAATCTACCTTGTAATCTTCCTTTCTAGGACTTTTTAATAATAGATTAAGATTACTATACAATTTGAGGTTTTACTTTTACTGATGTTTAAAACAGGGGGAGGAGAATGAAATAACTAGGGAGGAGAGAACAAGCTTTCCGAGTCCGTTGTTTTCTATCAATGTATAAAAAGTAAAAGCTTAACATTACATTCAGTAAATATTCACTGCGCAAAAAAAAAAAAAAGTGTAGATACCATCAACATCATTTCATCACAAATTTAAACCTATGCTATACTACAGCGAGAATGGATCTCACTAGGAATGGATCTCATGGTGTATATGATGCACACAAAATTAATTTAGAAACTTGAAAGTAGTTACTTTAAATAACTGACATCAACTAGCAGTTTTTGGAGAAAAGGTAAATTACAAAGTATGAGCCTGAAATTCCAAAATATTTATGTAGGAATTCTGAATTGACTCTTTGCCTCTAATTAGGAGTTTAATGATAGGGTTTGGTATAATAATTGTATCTTACGACATTTAAGAATTCTAAAGCAAGCAAACCCTGGTATGCCGTATTCTGAATAAGCATCTAAATATAAAATATTTCTACGTACTTAGACAATCTGGAGAAAAAACTGTGAATTAGCAACATCTAATCTTGCGATAAGACTTCTTTCCTGCTTGACAGGTGAAAAAAAGCACTTGCACGTGCAGCTTAATTAATCACTGCACTTGACATCTCAATGATTTACAGTGAGGAGCAGGTGAGAACATACAAAACCAGAAAGGAACCCTTGATCTAAGTGGAACATTTCTAGGACACTAAGGTGACAAGTATATAGATTCTTAGCAGTCATTTAAAAAAGGAGGAAAGAAAGAAAGAAAGAAAGAAAGAAAGAAAGAAAGAAAGAAAGAAGGGAAGGAAGGAAGGAAGGAAAAAGGGAGCAAGAAACTGTGCCACAAATGATTTGTTAATAACAACAAAAGCTCAAATTAAATGGAAAAATAAAGCTTTAACTACCAAGAATGTTTAATATTCTGTACTTATTTTAGCTAACAAAATCAAAATATATTTTCAAGATCAAATACAACATCAATTTAGCAAATATTGAAAAAATATACATCTCAGCATTTGTAAAAGCTATTTAAAAGTCTTTAAACAGGAAGAGAAAGCACCTCATAATTGCAGTCACCTAGAAATCAAAGAGTTTATGTCCACAGTGTTGTTAGACAGCTATTTCTAAAGAAATATAAGATTTAACACTGCCAAACTCTATAATTACTACTAGACAAGCAAACCTAGCCATATAAAAATTTGTTCTTGATTTTTTAGAAGTTTGTATCCATCACCAAATTCAATAATTAAAGCAAACTAATGTGCATTGAAAAAAATTAGTATGTACAGGATCTGTCAACACAAAATACCAAAAAAAAAAAAAAAAATCCTTTTTCAGTATTCTAGCCCAGTGGATTTCTAAAAATAAGTCATCTTATTAAAAGAATTTGGTGCTTATGAAAAGCACCAGATTGATATTCATGGGAACCAAAAATCTTCTTCTATTTAACTGAAAAGAACAGGGGAGAGGGCAGTGCAGGCTTCAGTGCAAGCTTCCCTACAGTGGGCCTTAATCCTTTTCAGCGTTCACACCCTGGGGGTGAGAGGACAGGTTAGTGGTTCTTTACCAATGAATCCTCGGTCCGGCAGCATAAGATCATCAACAAAAATCTGATTTTATCATGGATTCTTAACGAAAAGGACCAAGAACACCAACTCACACCATGCAAGCAAAACAAGTTTTTAAGGGAATAATGGCCAGCCACTAACCTGGTCTGTAAGGGGACAGCTCCAAGAACCTGGACTCCCACCTATCTTCCTTATCACAAAGCTCACTTTAACTCTTTTTTCACACATTTCTTCAACACCTTGCTAATTCTATTTCTGTCACAGGTGAACTAACTCTAATATAGCCATATGGCAATGTTAAAGTAAAAAAATAATAGAGATTCAAAAACATTGCAATTCTAAATAAACTTATTTAATAAAGAGACTTTTAAGTAACAAGCAGTAATAACAGAAGGATAGAAATTTTGGCTTCTATTTCTATTACCTTTGAGACCACTTTTTTGAGAATTGTGAAAATAAGTGAAAACGTGAAAATCTTAAGAGAAGTAAAACGGCCTGGACAATTCACAAAATGGCTACCTAAATAATGATTAATAAAAAAATTTACAATAGGTATGACATGTTCCTATCAATTTCCAAAGAGGCATCTAAATAAAGTAAGCTTACAATAGTAAAATACCTATGAGGCACCTAGAAATAGTAAGTTAGCACAATTGAAAATTAGGGTTTCCTGAAAATTCAAATTGGACTCGTTATGAAGCATTTTTGTCATTTTTTTCTAAATATCATTACTTCCTAAGGAATAAATTACTACTCCCTATAAGCAAATTATGTGCCAGTAGATCTAAATAAGTCATTTAGGGCAGCAAGAAATCCTCTAGAAAACCTGGAGCATGTTACTCCTCTACTTTGCTGCAAGTATTACTTAATAGCATCTTCAATTACCAACGATTCATTGATCACAATCAATTGTTTAAAAAGTGGTTTTTCAAAAAGTGGTTTTCTAAAAGTTGCTAATACAATCAATGGAAATCTCATGAATTTTAAAGTACTTTAAAGCCAAAGAAAAGAATGCTAAATGTAGAAGCTGTAACAAAATTTCTCTGAAATTTTCCCAAAGAAATGGCATTCTTACCAGTCTTTAAAACATAAAGATGCTAAGATATGTTAATAAGATGTATAAATAAAATATCTCACAAGTAACTATTTATAAAAGTTCAGCTATTGAAACTTCAAATTTATTTGAATAAGATTAATTTATAACATCACAATATCAATTCCTATTTAAATTCAATTTCTTATTTAAAACAAGTTTTAATTTTAAACTCCTAAATTTATAATGCATTAAGCTTTAACTAGAACAATGCTTGAATATATGCAAAATCTTATTTTTTAAAGTATTTTAAGTATTTTTCAAGAACTGTACTTCCTTTTAACATCTGTGCAA